GTAGCACCCCTGTCCCTCCTCCCCCAGTTGCATCTGCCCGGACTGCACCAGGATTCGGCAAGACTGTCCTCCTGAGTGCTTTAGCTCAAGCTGCCAGGTCAAAACTTCCACAAATCCTGGCAGAGTTTGCATCTGCAGCTCCCATCGAGTCCAGCTTCTAACAATACAGGCAGTATCCTGCCCTGGCCAGCGTGTGGAGGAATGTGCGTGTGAATTGGGTGGGGGGGCCGGCCTTGCAAACTGTGCCACGGACCCAGCCCTCTGGTCCCTTCTGCCATCCTAAACATCGCTGAGGTTTGCTTGTATCAGGGCGAGAGCTGGTGCAGAGGGGAACCCGTGCTGGAAGTCCTTCAGAAGGTTTCCCTTCTCATGCAGCTCTTTAACCGAAAAGCATGACTGGGGTCCGGAGCCAGGCTGTACGGCTCGGTGCACCTCCGCCGCTGGTTTGTAACACGGGGCGTGCTTGTTGGAAGGTTTGCGAGTAACAGGAATTACGGGCAGGACAGACCCGTGTCTGTCAAAGGGAGGAGGACTGTGGTGCTGTCAGACTACGGACAGGGCAAAGGGAGAAGAAAAGCTGTCTGGTGCGTGCCCTGGAATGGTGTCACTTGTGAACAGTGCAAAGCAAGGCTAGGGTGATGCCGGGGGAGCAGGTATGGCACCTGGTCCCTGGAGAGTGCTTGCTTTCGCCTCGGGTAATTGTGAAGGAGGACGGGGGAGGAAAGCACGTGCCCTTTGCAGCGTAAGATCTCATCGAACCTTGCACGTTAAAGCTGAAAGCCAGGGCAGGCTGCAATTGAGGGAAGAGAAGTGTGGGGAAGTGGATGGTGCTACTGCTGGGAAGATACCTGCCCTGCAGACACCATGGGGGCTTTAATCTCTATTTGCGTTAACTTTGTAATTTTTTAGCACGAGCATTAGGGCTATTTTCATGCTTAGATTATCCCACTGGTCTTTTATAAAGCCGCCCCTCTTTATAGTTGTGCTGTTCCAGCTCCGTGGGCTTGCACTGTGAGAGAGAAGAGCTGCTCTGTGATTTACCGGTGATTGCAGCTCGGCGGTGGGTAAACCAAGGAGCTGCTGGGAACTCGGATGGGGCAGCCGGGCACATTCACTGGCACACAGGCAGACGGGATGCTGCTTGGGCTGGCAATGCTTTTCCAACAGAAAGCGCCGAGAGAATTTTGCCTTACCTGGATGGGAAAGACCTTGGTTTCATCTCCCTTCTGTTTTTAGGTGGCACCTCTACATGTGTGACATCTCCCTACAGCTGCTTGTTGTGCCTGGAGCCCCATGCGGGGCACGAGGCCGGCGTGCAGCCGGGGGATGTGGCTCTCCTGCTCGGAGAGCGGCAGCAGCGGGTGGCCCTGGGAGGTGGATGGGCAGCCGCATGTCCAGAGGAGTTGTGATTTCTGATTCATTTAGATTTTTATATTTTTTAGGTTATTCTATAATTCAGAATTATTACAATGTTACTGTACGGTAAAAATATTGAATTTTTATGTCTTGGTTTACAATCTGCTCTCCTCTTGCAATGTCGGGACAGTAGTGGCAGGGGACAGTAAGGGGCAGGCAGCGTCTTGGGGCAGATCCCAGCTCTTCCAGCCCATCGCATGAGGTTAGCAGAGTTAGACTGATGGTGGTACATGAACGTCTGTCCCACCGGGGCACAAGCAGCTTTGCGTGACATTATTGCTGGAATTTGCAAGGTGATGGATGGTCGTGTCCTCTCTGTCCTTTAACTGATCGGGCAAAAAAGAGCGTTCGAATGTGGGCGAAAAGCATGGCAGAGAAATGTGCTGGCACATGCGGGGTTGCAGCCGGGGAGCGTGCAGCCTGCGGGCGACAAACGCTCGGCAGCGAGTGCACCGGTCCGTGCTGCCTCACCCCCCCGGCGCCTCCTTCCTCTCATCAATCTGATTTTAGCATCCGCCGCTGCGGGCGTGAGCTCAGGTCTGCTGGGTGAAACCACCGTCTGTTAATACATCCCATCCCGTGGGAAAACCTCTCGCAAGCTGGCAGCCTGACTACAGCTCATTCCTATTGCAGCCGTCTCCCTCCAGCCGAGAGCAGGCAGGGTTTTCCCGTGGGATGCTCCAGCCCAGGTCCTGCTGTGCCCGGCGCGATGGCCTCTCTTGCCTCCGCAGGTAGGAGACGAGCAGCTGGAGCGAGTGCTCCCGCACCTGCGGGGAGGGCTACCAGTTCCGCATCGTCCGCTGCTGGAAGATGATCTCTCCGGGATTCGACAGCTCTGTCTACAGTGACCTCTGCGAGTCCGCTGACATCACCCGCCCGGACGAGCGCAAGGTCTGCAAGAACCCGGCCTGCGGGCCCCAGTGGGAGATGTCGGAGTGGTCCGAGGTAAGTCCCCGGGGACTGCTGGCCTGGCAGTGCTGAGGGCGAGCACGTGTGCCTGCACTTCTTCGTTCCTCTTCCAAGTGAAGCTCATCCGTGGCCGTCAGGGACTCTGCCTTTCAGGACACTGGCTGCATTCATTGCATGTGGACCAACATGCACCAGTAATTTTTTTTTTTTTCCCCTAAAATGAAGCCTTGGGTCCCCTCCAGGATGGGGAGGCCACCACCACTGGTCACTCACAGTCTTTGACCGCACTTAAGGTGCTGGCATTGCCCACTGAGATAGGGCAGGAGCCCGCGGCTGAGATTCTCCCACCACTATTGCTTGGCAGCCTCTTCAACCCGCAAGGTGCCAGGGAGGAGATCCCACCTCACAAGTGAATTACGTTCCTACAAACTTCCCTTCCTCACCTCCCATTTCTCTGCACCACATGGAGAATTAAACCTTTTCCTAGCTGTGCCTTAAGCAGATCCCCAAAGCCGTTGGAAGATGGTTTGGGGCGGTGCAGTGCTGCTCATCGGTTTGCTTGGGAAAACCTGAGAAAGGGTTTGTGCCCCTGAATTCATTTCCAGACGCAGCCAGTGCTCCGGCATGTCGCTTGCAAACATAAACCCGTGGAAACCACCAAACCGGTGCCGCTTCCTCAGGGAGCCGGGGCCAGTGTCTGAGCTGGGGTGGATCAGGAGCCAGTCCCCTGGCTGCCACTGGTGTTGCACTGGGTTGACACTCGTGGTGCAGGGAGGGGGGGACCCAGCATGGTTCGCAGCGAACGTATAAAGCACATGGAGGGGTATAAGTATGCCCCCACGCATTGCTAGGAAACAGCCCTGCCTCTTCAATGTCTTCTGGAAGCGGGCGTGCATGGGGAGAGTGAGATTTCGGGTCTGTGTCCATCTCTGAGCTCGCCCAGGGTGCCACCGCCGGCCTGCCGGGATGGTGACGGCTGCGCGCGGAGCGTGGCATTTGTGCCCTGGAGCCCGCACGCTCATTGGCACTCTGCTTTTTTTTTGCCCAAATCAAGCCCAGACCCCTTCTAAGCAAGAGCAGACTGAGCTCTGAGCCAAGCTGTCTGCGGGTGCAAACCTGCCCCACGGTTTACACCACGAGGGATCAGACTCTTCCTCCTGGTAGACTCCCAAAACACTTCGTGGTCATAATTTAAACGTCTCTCTTCCTCTTCAAGCTGGGGTGAGCCGTTTCCCTCGAGCCGATGGAGTGGCTGGTGTGTTCCTTGGTGTTGCAGGATGTTTTGACTTTCCCAGCTGGGTAGAGAGGAGCTCCCAGTGCACGTGCTGGCGCGTTATTTTGACTGGCGTAGCAAACCAGAGTGGCTTATTTTACAGAAATCTGTATTCTCCTCCAGCATGTGTCAGGGACAGATTGCTTGAGACAGTCCTGGAGTAGTTCGTTCTTAGCCAGCAGCAAAGCTAATCTCATTTGGATCCCATCTGAAGCAGGGTGCCAAGTTGGCTTGGGGAAATAGGCATAAAAAAAAAAGTACATTTCAGGGATCTGAGGATTAACATATCAGCACGGTGCGTCTGAGCACTGTGCTGTTGACACTTTTCCCTGCTTTACGTTATGCATGGAGCAAATGTGCGTATGTGAGACTGTAGTAACTCAAATCCAGTTCTAAATAATGTCACGGGGCTGCACGGTGCCAAATTTATCCACAGCATAAAAAAATCTCAGTTGTGCGGTTTGGGGAAAACATTCTCCAAAGAGGTGGAAAGGAGCTGGCTGTTCCTGGGAAGGAGGCGAGGGAGATCTCACCCTGTCTCTAAGTGACAGCTAAAACTTTTCAGCTCTGATCGGGCATTTTTGGTGCCTTGGGTTTTCACCCTCTGCCATCTGGCATCAGCCGGTGGAGAGCTTGCACAGCACCCGGGCAGGATACAGCCCTCCCGCATCTTAACCTGACTGCTGAAGCTGTTGAGGGGTTTTGGGAAAGAGGGGCAGCTTTGCTACGGATTGTTTTACAGACAGTTGCCTATGCAGTGTCAGTGTGTGTTTTGAGAGTTTCATGTTAAAAATGTAAAAAAAAAAAAAAACCAAACCAAAAAAACCCCAAAAAACAAAGCAAACAAAACCAGAAAGCAGCTCCCCGTTCCCGTCGTGGCGGGAGCCCCTGCTGACGCCGTGCCCACCGTCCCATCCCGGCAGTGCTCAGCCCGGTGCGGAGAGCGGAGCGTGGTGACGCGGGACATCCGCTGCTCGGAGGACGAGAAGCTGTGCGACGCCAGCGCCCGGCCCCTGGCCGAGAAGAACTGCACCGGACCACCTTGCGACCGGCAGTGGACCGTCTCCGACTGGGGACCGGTGAGACCCCCGGGGTGGCCAGCCCAGCGGCCATCGCAACCCGTTGCAGCTGGCCCTGCTTGCAGGCTTGCTTGTGTCTCCAGTGCTGGGTGTTTGGGGGTCAGACTCATCCTCCCCAGCAGCTCCCAGCTCTGACAGACCCACAGGCAGCCCGCACCCGCAGCCGACCTCCAAACGATTCGGCCGCTTTGGCTCTCCTAGTCCCCGTGTCACCTCAAGTCTCTGTCTCGTCACCAGGACTTGCCTGCCAGCGCGTCCGCCCTCGGTCACCCTGACCGACCGCCCCGGTTCTGTGCCCGTGGCAGCGCTGGGGTTTGATGGTGTTTGTGAGCACTGAGCCCTCCTCTTCACGAGGCTCCCCCTTGCGCAGGGCAGGGATGAGCTGCCAGATGGGCTCCAGCACTGGGGGTGATTCAGCGTCCCGGGGGGGGTCCGACGGCTTCCCGGCAGGTTCTCCCTGGGGCTCCTCGCTTGCGGGGGATGGGGTGCAGGAGGGGTTTAAACCCTGAGAGACCTGGCTGAGGGCCTTGGTGGGTGTCAAAATCCCCCTGTCTGTCTGCTGCGTGGCATACTTTATGAATGCTGATGCTTCATGCCCAGAAAATGAACCTTTTCCTTTCCCCACCCCTTTCCCTTCCCCCCCTTTTCCCTTCCTGCACAATTCTGCTACAGAGACCCTCTCCATCCCAAGCTATTTTTACCCAGGTTTTGATACATTAGCATCAGCTAAAAATAAGTAGTTTCCATGGCAGCAGCGGCGCTGTGAAACACCGTACGTCTCTGCAAGAGTGGCCGCAAAAGAACCGGGGAGCACTCGCTGCGTCCACCGGCGCTCGGGGCAGTGCCTGCCTGCCCCTTTGCAGGGGAGGGGGGGAATATTTGCAGCCACTTGCTTGGTCCCCTTTGCCTTGAGCTCTTCGAGAGCCACCCCGGGAAGTGGGGTGGCTCAGGGAGAACAGGAATGAGAGGTGTTTGGGGTCAGCTTTGGCTTTTTTTTCTTTCTCTTTTTTTTTTCTTTTTTATTTTTCTTCTTCACCCCTTACCCTGCAGCCATGGGTGGGGTGCACGTGGAGCCCGCGGGATGACTGCTTGCAGCGCTTCCCATCCTGCCTGGCCCGAGGAGATGCTGAGTTTTGCTCAGCACCAGCATGATGGGGCCACAGGATGGGTTGGCTGCAGCAGGGCTGCCCAGGGAAGGATGCGCTGAGCTTCCCTGCACCTATTTTAAGCTGAGCCCCAATGATCCCTCCATGATTTGGGGAAGGTGGGGTTGGGGAGGCAGCTGAGCCCCACGGAGATGTCTCGGTCCCCATCGCGTGGATGGGGATGGGGATGGAGCCATGCTGCCTTCCCCGCCGCTGACTGCCCACCGTGCCTGGTGCGGTTTCAGTGCAGCGGCGGCTGCGGGCAGGGCAGGATGATCCGGCACGTGTACTGCAAAACCAGCGACGGGCGGGTGGTGCCGGAGTCGCAGTGCAACCTGGAGACGAAGCCGCTGGCCATCCATCCCTGCGGGGACAAGAACTGCCCCTCGCACTGGCTGGCGCAGGACTGGGAGCGGGTAAGTGCAGGCCTCCCCGGGCCGGGGGGGTGCTTGGAGCAAGGGCTTGGTTTTGGGGGGGCGATGGAGGAGGGATGCCCTGCCGTGACATTAGACCGGGGTGCGTGAGTCTCAGCCGGCCCCGCTTGCACCCCCGCAGTGCAACACCACGTGCGGCCGGGGCGTGAAGAAGAGGATCGTGCTCTGCTTGGAGATCGTCAACGGCAAGATCAAGACCCGCAACCCTGCCGACTGCGACGTCGCCAAGAAGCCTGTGGAGGAGACAACGTGCTTTGAGCGGCCATGCTTCAAGTGGTACACGACCCCCTGGTCGGAGGTGAGCGGGGAGAGAGCCCAGGGCAGCCTGGGGGAGATAGGGGGAAAATACCCTTCCTTCAACATGCGCTTGCCCTGAGCATGTCGTGCCCCGTCCCTGCAGGCCACAGCACCTGCAAAATAACCCAAGGAGACGGGCGAAGCTCTGCAGGATGCAGCCCCAGAGGGAGCACCCGGGGGGGCCCTTTCACTGCACTGGCAGCTCAGG